GAGAGAGAGAGAGAGAGAGAGCGTCACATCACAGTAGAGTCAGCTGTCTTAACTGCAAACACATACCAGCTTCATCACTGTGTCTGTCACGCGACTCTGTTCCCCTTTTGGGCTTGAACTGATGGTAAAACTAATGACATTATTTACTGTCTTTACATTTATTTTGAAAGATGAAGCTCGCGATTATGGTAAGGGGCGTTACATTTCCGACGAGTGCTTGCAGTGTTCGGCCAATCACAATGCACTGGGTCAGCTGGCCAATCAGAGCAGACTGCGCTTGTCGGAAGGAGGGACTTTGTAGAAAACGAAGCATTTGAGAGAGGCGGGGCATAGAGGACCTACAATAATGTACAGTATTTGAAAAATAATGTGTTTTTTGAACATTAAAGCATGTCAACATATTCTGTTACACCAAATACACAAAATAATTATCTTTAAAAAAGCATCATATGACCCCTTTAAATTGTAATAATACTGCTGTTATTACTGTGTTTTTGATCTAGTAAATGCAGCCTTGTTAAGTACAAGATTTATTTTAAAACATTTTAAAATACCAACCTTTAAAATTTTGAATGGTAGTATGTATTCACACATACACACCAACTAAAAATACATCCAAGCTATTAATAACTAAAATGAATGTGTACTTAATAGTCTCACCAGTATCTTTGTTGAGGGTGAAGAAAGGCGAGCTCCCTCCAGGTACAGTACGATATGTCACTCTGCCGTTATCTCCAGTATCTGGATCGTGAGCAGTGACCTTCAGGACGGAGGTTCCTGGGGTGCTCTGCGTACTCAGACTCACTGCATAGTTCAGAGGGTAGAACGCTGGTCGATTGTCATTTATGTCTATCAGGTCCACACGCACATAGGCCACTGAACTCAGTCCACCCTAGAAAAACACAGTCAAGATTAAATGTTCTTTAATGGTCATTAAAGATTGAACCGATATGAACATACAACAAAATCTAACTAGATAATAATACAACCAACTGATGAAGGCTCCATAGCCTTAAAAGACACAGCAAACATTCACAATTGACTAGAGTAACTATAGACAAAATATTTGGATTAAAATTAGCAAGAAACACTGAAACATTTCAAAGGCTACATCTAGGGAGGAAATAGATTGGTTATATTCCCTGTAGAGAACTGCAATCTGTCAAGGGCACAGTGTACATGTGGGATACGGTTCTTGCTGCTAAACATCTTGCCCGCCTGGCATCCCATATGGAGCAAATGGCATGTCAGGAAAAGCCTCAACTTATTAAATATTACAAGCTGATGCTCTTTAGGGCCCAGCTGCCCTTGATTGCTTTAATGTGTCTCCTGAAATTTCCTTTCTTTGATGCCTGGCGCTTCAAAGTATTACTAGGATGCTAAACCGCTACTGAAGAATTACTATGCAGGCAATTTTTTCCTCACTGGCTTCCTAAACAGACAATATTTGATGCACTTCTGAAAATAATCCAGTCACAGTTGATGTCACAATTGAATTGGTGAGGGATGTGGTTGCTGGGAATCACTGGACACTCACCCCATCCACAGCTGTGACGGTGAAGTCGTAGTTGGTTGGTCCCTGGTCACGATCCAGGCTGGTGGTAGTACAGATCTGTCCATTGTGCTTGCCAACGGTGAACTGAGACGGGGTCACACTGCCTGGACCAGAGCCCAGAGAGTAGGAGATGGAGCCAAAAGAGCCACCATCCACATCAGTAGCTGTAACCTGGAAGAGAAGAGAACACATTAGATTAATGTTTAGCCAAATGTCCCGAAAAGCTTAAGGAGAGAAGCCAGGCACTTTCAGTGTTTGGAACCAAGTTTCAATGGTATTTAATCAAAGGTCCTGAAATTTATTTATGTTAAACAATGATTGTCTTTATACTGAACAGGAATAATTATGTATGAATTGATATCCAACCAGCAGTAGATAACTTTTTGTGGGTAGACTTAGTGAAAAAAACAAAACAAAGAAATCTCAATATTTTCATCCTTTTTTATCACATCCGATATCAATATTTATATGCAATAATTTATATGCAATATGCGTTTGCCCTGAAATCATTCAGAATCATGATAATTTTTTAATGGTTTCATATAAACAATCATTTTTAAACAAACTGTTGCCAAATAAA